AAAATATCTTGTAGTCCCTGACATTACTCTCCCACCTCTGGATTCCTCCTCTCCCAGTTCAGCAGTCCACCCTGCACTGGATATTCCTAGTTCCTGGGGTTCTGGTGTGGACACAGTCCCAGGGGGATGAGCAATCCCGCTCTCAGAGTAAATGCTCTCCAGTTCACAGCTCTGGCTTCATTCCCCACCCCACCTCCAGGCCCCAACAATAGGCCCCTTCAGCTCTAGGCTCTTGCTGAGGGGGTGGGGTGGGGTGAGGCCTGAGCCGGACCAGCCCTGGAAGAGCTCTGGGAGTGGCTGGCTGCTGGGAGCTGGACTCCATCCTTCATCTCTTCCCGGGAGCCTGTACTTCTGGGCCTTGGTGCCGTGATGATGCTTGGGCCAGAGGGTGCTGAGAGGCAGTTTGCTGCAGTGCCCTGCATCCCAGCCCTGGCACTCAGGCGTGTGTGGTGCGCGTGTGCAAGAGACCCAGACAGCTGCTGGAATTTACCCACTGACACACGCGGGTGGTGTTTATATGCGGGGGAGGGATGCTTCAGGAATGTGTCAGGACTCTCAGTACATCCCCTCTCTGGGTGTCAGGGTTGGCACACCAGTCTTCAACTGGTGGAGCATGAAACAGCTACGAAATACTTTCAAGACCAAATGGATAGATGTGGGGAGGTGTTGGGCTCAGCCTGGGTCTGTGTTGTGGTATTTAGTCAGCTTCTTCCCTTTGCTTTCTGAAAGTTACACTTGCTTCTCTGTTGGAGTCAAAGGCGATGAGGCATAGGAGGGTCCCTGTACCTGGCGTGTCTGTCCCGGCTTCCACGCCCTGCCTTCCCACCCTCTCACTCCTTAGCCCCTGTCCTTTCTTTGAGGCTGGGATGCCTGACAAACCAGACCTCCTTCCCATCAGTCAACCCTGTGGCATCCTGTACCCCAGCTCTTCCCCCCTCAGCATCTCCGTCCAGTCTGATGAGAAGGCAGCCTTCAGTCAAAACTCCCCCTCTGTCTTGAGGGACTGCTATGCTGTCCCTGGGGCTGAAATAGCTTTGTGGGAGCAAAGTAGCTTAGTAGTTCTGGGACAAGGGTAATTGTAATGAGATTGGTAGCCCCTCTTCCCACAAAGGTACTTGCTTTTCTGGATTAGAAATAATGACGGGGGTTAGGGGGTGAAGGGGGAGCAGAGCAAAGCCAGAGTCAACGAGGGCAACCAGGCTTATTCCTGGTATTCACTGGATGTAAGGTCGCACCAGCTCACTGGAATAGAGACAGGCCTCCTTCCGAGGGTCCGTCACAAAGGCTTGAGGTCCTTTTCAGCGAACTCTCTTGACCGGGTGCCTTGCCAGATTCTTCCTTCAGGGTGACAGATATAAACAGATGGTTATTTTACTTTGTACAGACCACAAGAGAGGTACATATGTAGGGCTCCTTCAATAGAATTTTATATTAATACAGAGTGGTACAGAAACAGTGACCCTTAAAGGATCAGAGCATGATAATTAAAAAATTTTTTTCTTTCTTTTGACTATTTTCCACATGTACTATTATGTGATATGCCACTCTTGTTTTCAAATATACTTTAACAAGATAACATAGGAAGCATTGTGGGAAAAAAAAACCATTTGGGAATAGGAAATAGGAATTTACAAAGGAGGTGATGTTTTATCTGAGTCTTGAGGAATGTGTAGGAGTTCATGATGTAGACAGTAAATCACAAAGCATAGTGCAAAGACATTAAGCTCCAGGAAGGGGTATTTGATTTGGTTGGAATATGGAGACGTTTGAAGGAAATGATAAAAAATGTGGAGGTGGACAAATATACAAGAGGTGGATTGTGAAGGGCCTTGTAGTTGGCTTGGTGAGGAGTTACAGAAAGATGTAAGCAGGAAAGGAACTTCAGATCTGTGTTCAGATGACAGTATAACAGTAGGGAACTATGTACCAGATGCTGTGCTAAGTGTGCTATTCGTGAACTCACTGAGTTTGCATTTGATGAAGGAGGCACTGTTTATTTCCATTTTACAGATAAGGAAATTGAGGCTTAGAGGCTGTCATTTGCCCAAATGATTAGAGAGTGATACAACCAAGATTTCTGTTCAGGTTCTTTCTGACTCTTGTCCCAGTGAGATTGATGGGAGGAAGAATGAGGAGGCAAAGAGCAGATTTTATGGTCTGCCCCAAGGGGGAGTAGGGAGTTATGGCCAGGGAGCCCAGGGTGAGGTTTCCAGCCTAGGTGGCCAGTGTTGGCTTGTGACATTGTCAGTTCGGATACAGGAGCACACGGTAGCTTGGTTTAAGGCGGGGCAGACTGAACTCAGTGTGGACACATAGACTTTGTGGTACCCATGCATCCTCCTGCTGGAGCCAGCTGGGCATGTCTGGAAACACAGGTCTAGAGCTTCAGGAGCTCAGGAATGTACATGAGGCTAATCATTGGAGCCCTGGGAGGAGAGGAGGTGATCTCCACCCCGCCCCCGGTACAGAGAGAAGGAAGGGAAAGTTTCAAAGTCTTAGGAAATACCAGCAGTTAAGGACAAGGGTGAAGAACCTTCAGGGTTAGTTAGACTCAAGGCCTGTGGGCCCAGAAATGCTGGCAAATACGCCTCAGCCTTGACTGTCCCAGGACCTCAGCTGCCAAGCTCCCCTGGAAGGGAGTAGGTCACTGTGTCCTGGAGATGGAGAGGGTGTAGACAGCCATGGTGTGTGTCTGAATCACCCTCTTCTCTCCCTTGGCCTGTGGCCAGCCTCCTCCCAGACCAGTGTGATTTCAGACCTGGGATGACCTGAAGGAGTAAGGTTTCCTGGTGCAGTTCCTCTGGGATGAAGTCCCACGGGGACCAGCCTGACCCTGGTCCAGAAGCTTAGGCCTTGCACACAAGAGGGTGAGTTGAAGGTGACCGGGCTTGGTGGGGCGAGCATATGGAGGCAAGATAATCCTCAGGTCAGAAGAAGAGTCATAACCTACCCCCCCCCCGCCCACACACACACACACTCTTTCTCCTCTCCTGTGTGTTATCTTCCCTCCAGGGCCTGGAGAAGATGGAGGGCAGAGGTGGCAGAGGGCTGGCCTGGAGGTGGGGTTGGCATATATTCCCGAGAATACGGTAGATTGTTTTGGAAAAATCCTCTGGCCGGAAATTACATGTCACGTCTGCTCCTCAGTGTGGATTTGTCACTCCACTGATGCTGTCGGAGAGCCTGGGGGAGGGGAGTGGACAGCAGAGGCAGGCTGGTTCCTGGCCATTATCGGCTCCCTTTGGCGATAAGGGGCCAAGTTGTTGATCACAGGGTGTACCTGTGGACTGGGTTCCCCAAACCCGAGAGGCAGTTTGGATCTTGTGGATGTCTTGTAACAGGATGGCATTAGGAGGCAAGAGATTTAGGAAGGGAGGAGGTAGGGAGAAAGCAGGAAGGGGGAGTGGTTTAGATCAGACCCTTTATCCAACCTGGAGAAGGGATGTGTGGGCATCTTTTTCAGCCTCTCTCTTTCCACAGTCTCCTGAGTTTGGGTTCCTGCTGCTGTTCCCAAAACCAGTTGCTGCCTTCTGGAGCTCTGGAGACCTGCAGTAGGCGCAGAGGAGCTTCTGCCCAGAATAAGCACCCCGCCTGGTAGGGTCGCTTCCCTGGTTGGCTCAGCGGTAAAGAATCTGCCTGCAATGCAGGAGACCCCCATTCGACTTCTGGGTCAGAAAGATCCCCTGGAGAAGGGAATGGCAACCCACTGCAGTATTCTTGCCTGGAGAATCTCATGGACAGAGGAGCCTGGTGGGCTGCCGTCCATGGGGTTGCAAAGAGTCGGACACGACTGAGTGACTAACAGCACACACCCTGGCAGGGTCATCCCATGTACCAACTTGCTTCACGTTGGAGAAGGAACTTCTGAAGACAGTGAGCCTTATGGGAACTTACTTGGTGCCCACTTGGGGTCTCTTTCCTCAGTCTCGAGGTGGTGTGTGTTAATGTCTCTGCGTTTCCCTCCTCCTCTGCCCCAAACCCCAAAGGGGTGAGGGTGCCTTGAGCTCAGCCCTAAATAGCTGGTGCCGAGGAGTCAGTGGATGCTTCACATGCCGTGGTAATGAGAGGGTGTGCATGTGGCACCTTAGGGCCCTCCGGGCTGGAGGGAGAGGAAGAGCGTCTGCAGTGGGCCTTCCTCCATTGGCAGTGTCATCCTGGCAGTGGGGGGGGGTGACCGCCCAGTTGGACTCATGTTGGAGCAGCTCCTCCAGCAGGGAGTGTGGGTGCTTGCACTCTTCTGAGGCCAGAGAGGTCAGCCCCAGTACTCTCCCCGGCCCTGAAGGCTCTGAGTTCCTTGGCGCTGGGCCAGCACAGTCTTGGGGCGGGATGGGGGAGGGACGGCGGCGGCGGGGAGAAGTCAAGGCCGAGAGACGAAGCGGGGGCTGCGGTGGCCTGCGGTCTCCCCCGTGCGGACGCCGGGGGCGTGGCTTCCATAGCCGGCGAGGAGTGGGCTGGGCAGGTTAGCTCGGAGTGCGGATCGGCGGTGCGGAGCCGCGGCGGTGCACTGCGGAGCCTGCCAGGTGGGCGCATTCTTGGAGCCAGGTAGAAGCTGGGCTGGAAGGAGAGGTTTCAGGCCCCAAGGTCTAGAGGGAGGGTCTCGGGTTGAGTCAGGGTAGGGGCTCTCAGATGGACCTCCCCCCAATCATGGAGTATGGGGACCCTTGAATTCCCAGGACCTGATCGGTGGATCGGGGGTCCTGGAGGCATCTAGGGGCTGAGGGGAGCTGTGGGTCTGTGGTCTGTGGTCAGTAAAGGTGCGGACCCACACCTGGCTCTCTGGGTCGGGGCGGGAGGGCAGCTGGTGGCGCTGCTCTGCGGAGAGGTGGCTCCTTGGAATGGAGGCTGGGATTGGGGGAAGGGCAGCTGCAGGCACAGCGGGAGAGGCCGGTAACCAACCCGCTCTGCTCGGGCTGCAGGTGGCAGATGTGGGGCGCCTGTGGGGCAGAGGACCCGGCCTGCTGCTGGCTGGGGCGCTGTAACGGCCCCTGCCCTCCTGAAGGATGTCGGAGGCCCGGCCCCGCAGGACGCAGGGCAGTGACGCTGCCGGTGCGCTGGAGCGGCGGGGGGCTGCGGGAGGGCTCAGCTCCCCTCTGTGGCCCGAAAGCCGGGAGTTTGGATTTCATGGGGGAGAGATCTGCATATCAGCGCCTGACTGGGGCGAAGGAGGAACCGCAGGTAAAGGGGCAGCCAGATAGCCGGGACCCTGTCGTCTGCTGGTGAGCTGAGGACAACCTGTCAGGAGTGAGGGGTATCTATGCTTCTGGGCCCCAGGACAGATCCTGGGGGCTAGGAGGCTGGGTGGAGAAGGGTGGTGTGTTTGTGTTGGGGGGTAGGATGGGGAAAGTCAGTGGTGATGAATTCCTGTTGCTGACATCTGCTTCAGTGTCTTTGAGTCCTTAGGACCCAATTAAGCTGCCCTTTGGGCTTGCCTTAGTGCTGCATGGGAGCATTGGGAGCACTGCCAGGATATGGATTTAGTCTTTCACGGACACAGAGTCCGTGTGCCTGGACATTCCCTCTTGCGGCTTTATGAATCTGCATATTAAGCCAAATGACCTTGTTTGCTTTGGAAAATATGATCAGGGTGTTTATGAGTCTGCCTCCCTTACCCTTGAAGATCAAGCATTCTCTCTCTTGGCCAATAGAGGGCAGTGACTGCCAGGACAAAGCTGTGGTAGGAGGGTGCTGTTTTCCAAGGCTGGTAAAAAGGGGTCCAGAGCTGGTCTGAGCTCTGACCCCTGACCACGCTTTGCTTTTCTTCACAGCCTCCTACAGCTGGATTGCTGAGCAAGCTGTTGAGGCTTGTTCTTACCTGATGTGCAAGGGGAGAATCAGGTCTGGGGTTCCAATGAGTTTGGGACACATCTTTCTGGGTGGTTATAATTTTCAATTCGGCCCTTCCAATCCAGCAGTTCTCGCAACTTTCGATAGAGGGAGTGATCCTGCTTAAATTGTCCCCTTTAAGTCAGATGCCTGGGTCTCCAGGGTGGTGCTTGGTGGGAGGTGGGTGATAGGCTTCTCTGTGCTCTTGGCATTGTGTGCCAGCATTTAGGGGGAAGTTAGCTCCAGTGTGACCGTGACCTGACCTTGTCTTGTCCGTTAGCTGTGATTCCATTCTAAGACTGGTGATTCACTGGGACCCAGGAGAGGCTGCACCTGGCTGGCATCATAAGTGGCTGGCATCAAGGGTGGTGGGGGATGAGAGGGGGATGGGAAAGAGGGGCTGATTGCCTGGGGTGTCCCATTCCCCCCCGCCTTGGATCAGGTCAGGAAATGTCTGTCCCTTCAAGCACTTCCTTGCCAGGAAGGTCAAGCATTGAGAGAGAGGCCCTAGAAAGAGCCTGGGATGCTGACTCCCCAAAACTCTCACCCCAGCTGCCTGCTCCACCAGCCAGCTGGGGCTCCCAGAGCTGGTGGCCAGCTGGAGAGGGACAAGAGAGCAGTGTGCAAGAAACGGGCTCCCTGGGCATGGCTGAGGTGGGGGCTGAGGGAGCCGAGAGAACTTCCTGCAGCTGTCAGGTGTGTCTGGGGGCTGTAGTGAGGGGGGTGTAGGAGCAGCTGGCGCCCTTGAGGAGGGCCAGAGGGATCAATTGTCAGCTCTAGGAACAGGGGGGGCCTGATGGAGTGACGCAGTTCCCTCTAGCTGCGGCTGTTGTCCCTGTGTGTAGGTGCTGTTCAGGAGACATCTTATAGCCTGGAATCCTATAGTTTCCGAGTGGGGCCATTGCAGGGTTTAGGGGCTTATTTGTTTGTTTTGAGGGGGCTTTGGATCTTCGCCAGCTGGTCTGGGGAGGAGGCATCCTGGGTGATGTGCGTAGCAGACAAGGGAACCCCCGGGGAGGGGGTGGAGGTTCCTCACCGTGCCCCCCCCACCCCCACCCACCCTTGGCTGGACTGCCCCACTCTGGCAGGCTGCCAGAGTCCTATTTCCGTCGGGCACCAGGGTAACAGGGCCACATTAGGGCCTGAGCCAGGAGACGCCCAACCAAGGCTGGGGCTGGGAGATGGGGGAGGGTCTCCGAAGGGTCTGCATGCAAGGTCCAGGGTTGACTTTCTGGTGTCCAGGCCCCCTCACTAGCCCTCAGAGCCCCCACAAGCACGCATGGGGGCCTCTTTGTAGATTGCTGCATGATTGACATGGCCCCCACCCTAAAATCCCAGGAGTTGTCTGCGACTGTGGGGGCTGGGGTGGAAGCCAGAGACAGGGGGCCTTGTGTTTGTGGAGGTGGGGGGGCAGCGCGGGTGGCTGGGAGGAAGAGTCCCCCCATTCCCGCCGCCTTCTTGGCAGCGATTCAGAAAGGTCCTTTTTCAGCCACTGTCAGAGCTGCTCAGCTGGGGAGGGAGGGAGGCAGAGGGAGGGCGGGCGGTCGGGTGGGGGAGCCCAGGAGTAGGGCTGAGCTGTGACCACTGCGCTGGAGAGAAGGCAGAGAGGCAGGACAGAGGACCCAGGCTACAGCCACCCCAGAGGAGAGCTCACTCGCTCCTGCCAGGCTGGCCAGCTGTGGGAACAGCTGTAGCGTAGAGCAAAGGGGACCACCCTATTTTTCTACTGCATTCACTGCTCCTGGTGTGGGCTCTGGGGGGCCTCTGGGGCAGACCTCTGGCCAGCCTCCCTTCTGGGCAATACCTGCAATTCAGGAGCTGAGACCATTGCTTCCCATCCGCCCCCACTTCTTGGGCCAGAGCCCTGGTGACCTGGTCAGGGTGGGTCCGGCTCCGTGGACATGCCAGCAGCTCGTCGTTTCCCGGGCCTCGAGCTCTCGTTCCCTCTTCTAGCCAGACTCCGGCGGAGACTGTACACAGTGAGTCGGGGGCTGGGGGCGGGAGTGGACGGCCGGGACTGAATCAGCTCATCAGAGCCAGCCCTGCGCTGAGGGCCAGCGAGCAGGACGGGGCGGGCTCGACAGGGGTTCAGGGCCTCTCTGCTCCGGCGGCTGCATTCTTGGTGACGAGTGTGTCAGAAAAGTGTTGTGTGGGAAGTGTGTGTGCCAGCCACGAGAGCTACACGTGTCAGACACAGGTGTGTGGACTGGGCTGTGCTGGGGGAAGCAAAGACACGGGCTGGTGGCGGGGTGCGGGGGAGGACTTGTCCAGGGTCACCCTGGGCTGGGTGGTAGAGACGGGGCTGGGACCCTGGCTGCGTTCTTCTTTTCCGTGGGATCCCAGTGTTCTCTCCCGTCTTCCCACACATGCCCCCCCACGCAGAGCAGCCCTGTTCCCAGGGCTGGGGAGCAGGGAGATTTGTTAGCTGGTGTTTTGGGAAAAAGTAACAGGCCAGACTGTGCTTTCTCAGAGACTTCTTCAGGGGAGGGGCCCCTGGGTCTCCCCCAGCCCCGATCACACAGGATAGGCCTTTGAGCTGTTCTCAGGAGTGACTGCCTCCTACCCCTGGCAGCATAGGGTTGAGGGGCCTGGAGCACTGGGACTTGGGGACTGGGGAGGATGCAGTGGGGGTCTTCAGACCACCTGCTCTGGTGGCCAGCCTCATCTTAGGCTGAGCCGTGTTGGGGGTGGGATCACTCTGCTCCAGGGACTGGGTAGTGATGATGGTGGCATGAGCTGGCCCCGTCTGGTCACTCCACAGAGAGACACTGCCTGGGTTAGTGATTTTCACAGGGGTCCTTTGGGGCTTTCTTCTGGAAAGCAGTGGTGCCCTGCTCTCTTAAGTCCATACCCTCTTGTTTGTAATGGATGGCTTTGTTGAGGATAAGTGAGTTAATCAGCCAAATGCTTAGAACTGTGCCCAGCATCTGGTTAACTGTAGTTGAAGTGTTAGTTATTTTTATTTTTCTTAAATAAAATTAATAGAAATACAACCTGTTTATTCTGTGCGTATGCACCTGTGTGTATAGTCAATCAACATAATGCCTCCTGTAATATAAAGAAAACTGGAAGGAAATCAGTTGTAACATCTCATATATTTTAATATGTGAGTGCAGTGGGACAGTTATGAAGCAGTCAGATGCTAAGACCTCAGGTAGAACCAGCATGGAGGCAAAGATGTTGTCAGGCAAGTGCTGACAGAGGAGACATTTGAAATAGTAAGGATGGGCTGTCTTCAATGACCTGTTTCTGAATGGTGGACAACTTCTCAGCTCTGAACAAAGCAAAAGGCCAGTTTCTCCTCAGTGTACACAGCAGTTCCATTCTAGGAAAATTCAGTCTATATTAAAATTGCAAAAATACTTTCTTGTTCATGTGTAAAATGGAATTTGATTCTCTGTTCAGATGATTATAAATAAGTTTTTCACCTGCATAAATTAAGTTGTATGGGATTTGGGACATTATGAGAATCACAGCCACCCAATCACTGCCACTAGCAGTCCCCAACATATTGACAGCCAGACATGTTCTTTAGCGGGCTACCCAGCCCTCCTGAGAACCATGTGGGTGAACGGTTAGGGCTTAAAGTTTGGAAACCTCCTTCTGACTGCCGCCTTGGTGGAAGAGCCAGGGTTTGAACTGAGGGCATCTCGTTTCTGTCCGTGGCTCTTTGTGCTGCCCGGGGCTGCCTGGGAAAGTCTGAGCTCCTGGCACTGGGCTGGCAGCTCCGCTGGGAACTGTGGGGGCAGGAGGCTCGCCCTGGGCCCGGGCTGTGAGCGCCTGTTTTCCCAGCACGACCTGGGAGGAGAGCTGGGGGGACAAGGCTGCCTCCCCAGTGGGGAGGACGGGGTCTTGGGGCCGCTGGCCTTTTCCCTGGTGCCTGTCTTCTTCAGTGGGGATTGAACACAGGTCAGGGGCGGGCCAAACCCTCAACTCTGAGGGGGTCTTACTCAGACCAGGATAGGTTTGGCATTGGATGAGTCAGGCTGCCTAGTTTTGAAGGTTCCACTGGCCTCATTCTCTGGGCCGCAGGGAGTGTAGGTCAGAGCCGACGCCCTGGTGGCCCCCTTGCCTGACTGTGACCTGCATGTAGTTTTGTTTGGCCAGCACAGTGTACACATGTGCTTGCGTGTGTATATTTCAAACTTGAATTAGTTGACATAGTTCAAAAGTCAGGAGAAAGATCTAATGTCAAGTGTAAACAAGGAACAGAATGGTGTGGGTAATGGGTGAATATGTGTGTGGGGGGAAAACAAGTCTGGAAGAATGGGTAAAAGTCATTAACACAGCTGACTTTGGGGAAGGGGGTGAGGTGGCCATGCAGTAGGCGGGGAAGAGACTTTATTATGGCTTCTGTGTGCCTTTTGGTATTTTACATGTGCCTATATTACCTTTTCAAAAAAAATTTTTTTAAGATATTTATTTGGCTGTGTCGAGTCTTAGTTGCTGCTCATGGGATTTTCGTCGCAGTGCTCAGGCCTCTTTCTAGTTGTGGCTTAGCTGCCCCATGGCATGTGGGATCTTAGTTCCCTGATCAGGGTTCGACCCCAAGTCCCCTGCCTTGGAAGGTGGATTCTTAACCACTGGACCACCGGCAAAGTCCCTCAAACTTTTTTTAATGGTGAGATTTCACACATAGATTCCTATTTCTGGTATTTCTTTTAAAAATAGGAAAGCTTTGACACCACTGGGCCACTGTCTGTTGTGACAACTGTTGACTGTAGCTGAGCCACGCTGCCTCCCTAGGCTGCGGCTCCGAGCCCGCCCTGGCCTCCACCCATCTTTCCCTCCGACCTATGGTTCTGCGTGGTGCCTGGGGAGTGGTTTTTGGACCAGAGGCTCCTACTGTGTCAGGCATTGGGAAGGACATGCTAAGCTCATCTAGTCCCTGTGGGGTCCCTCAGATCTGTGGAGCTCATGGATGGGCCTCAAGGGACACTGCACCCCCCCCTCCCAAAACTTTTTAAATTAGAACATAATGAATAAGAATGTATATATTTTCCTGGAGACACAATTGATATTTTCATCAGATTCTTAGAGAGCTTATGATACCAGGAGAGTCGAAGAACCAGTGGGGAACCAGAGGACAGTTTAATCTCAGGTCACACGACCACCAGTGACAGATTTAGGGAGTAAGACCCTGACTCCAGAGCCTGGGTCATGTCCCAGGTACCCCGATTCTACCCCTGTTGCCATAGGAAGCAGGACGTGGCTGCAAGCTCTTACGTGCAACTGTTTTGGGGAGCAGGACGGGGGTTTGAGTCCTTCCCGCAGCACATAGTAGGATGTGGGTGAGCCCAGGGCAGTAGCAGGGCCGCGTGTCACCTCCCGTCCTTCTGCGGCCCCTGAGCAGCTCTTCTGTTCCCACAGAGGCTGGGGAGCAGCAGCATGCAGCCGGAGGAGGGCACAGGCTGGCTGCTGGAGCTGCTGTCCGAGGTGCAGCTGCAGCAGTACTTCCTGCGGCTCCGCGACGACCTCAACGTCACCCGCCTGTCCCACTTTGAGTATGTCAAGAACGAGGACCTGGAGAAGATTGGCATGGGCCGACCCGGTAGGTGGGGGCATTGGCCTCGCCCATCGTTGTCCCACAGACCAGTTACCTTGTCTGTCCTCAGAACTGCCAGCCTCGTGGAAGAGCCCTCCCTTCTTTGTTCCGTGGAGTTGCAGAGCCGAGAGCTCTCACTGCCTGTCCAAGATCCGTGCCCCCCATCTCCCCAGGTGGGGCAGAGGGCTATCAGTAGATGCTGTGCGCGATGAGTGTGCAGTTGTGAACGTGAATTGCAGTTGGAAGAGTCTGACTTAAGTTTCCAGCTACTCAGGATTAACTACACACTGTGTTTTGTTTGTGCAGACATATGTAGGCTGTATTTCTTCCATCTCCTCCTTGTTTGTAAATGTAGAATTGAGTCTGTGCTGAACACCCAGAGGGCTAGTGTCTGGAGGTCTGTGGAGAAGGAAGGATAAAAACCCTCAGATGGTTTGCTGTCTTTCTCCTGATCTCTCCCTTTCTCTCGTCTCTCCTGCAAAGATCTGTTCTATAGGCTTTTACCCCACTATGTGTTTATCCTAAAAGTACTCACTGTATCTTCTAGAAGTCATGGTGTTTCTTATAGAACATTAGAAACATTTAGTGCATTCAGCCTAAAATAGCTAAATAAGTGATAATGTGCGAATTTAGATACTGACTTAACGCTGCTTGTAGCCTAGAGAACTGATAGTTGATGCCAGTAACATAATACAGTTTCATGAGAGAAAGACTCAAAATTGAGGAAATTCTATCCTTTATCTTGACTTACCTATTTTTTCTTGAGAGTTGACATAAGAGTTCTACTGTTCAATTTTGGTGGTTAAACACCTCCATTGACTTCAAGAAGAATTGCCTGGAAGTGGGAGGCAGAGCCCATCTGGTTAATGGCGGCCGGCCCCTGGTTGGTGGGGATGGCTTGTTCCCTTGGCGTCGCTGCACTGCGCAGCGTCTAGTGGTGGCCTTCCCCCCAGGAGGACTGAGGAAACAGCCTCTGTGGCTGTAAGCACCTTAACAGCATGGGTTCCCTTTCCCCCCTGCCCCACAGGCCAGCGGCGGCTGTGGGAGGCCGTGAAGAGGAGGAAGGCCATGTGCAAACGCAAGTCCTGGATGAGCAAGGTGGGTGGACAGGGAAGGAGGTGGGAGTGGGGGTTCGTCGGGGCGCCTCTGATGTCACCTGGGAGCCTTCCCCCATTTCCCGTGGTATCATCTCACACTTTGTACAGACCTCCTCCGGGGTCTTATCAGGCAGGGTGCTTGTAGAGCTGCCTGGCTAAGTGTCTGTCTCCGCTGGAGACGGCGCTGAGTGGGCTGTGTGCAGCCTTGGCTCCACGTCCCCTCCCGCTGGGCAGGGGTGCCGGGCATGGAACAGGCGCTTGTTGACAAGTGCGCTGTAACTTGAGCCCTTGCGCTGTCTGAGTGTTGGGGCCAGTGTCCAGTATGGGGCGGTGGGACTGTCTGGACCCAGGATGGCTTTGCTTCCCTCCTCCCCCACCTTCCTAGTCAGTGGAGGGTTTCTCTGGTCCACCGGCCCTGCTGACAGCTTCCTTCCCCAAGTCCTCCCCCACCCCTCTTACTCTAATTTGGGTCTGTGGAGTGGTGAGTACCAGGTCTGACTCAGTGGAACTTTGCCCATTGTCTGGAAGACAATGCGAGAGGAAATGAACCAGCCGGGCCTTCCCGCCCCACTTCTGGCCTCAGGGCTGGGTGGGGGGTGGGCAGTACCGAACAGCTGGACCTGGGATTGGGCAGCAGAGATTTCCTAGCTGTGATCTGGCAAAGGGGCTGTCTCTTGGGATCTTGTGGCCTTTTCTGGGGACACTGTCCTGGTCTGTTGCCCAGGTTTTCAGGAAGGATGAGTGTGTTGGGGCGGGTGAAGGCAGGAGAGAAGAGTTGTGCGGTGTGCAGGACTCAGGGGTCTTGGATCTACCTCCGACTCACTGGAGGTCCCTGGGCCAGTCAGTTGACCTCTCCAGATTTAAGAGATATGTGGTCAGTAAAACAGTGCCAGCCACACTACCCAGCTCATCTCAGAGCCTTGGGGAGGATCCCTTGAGAAAAAGGCTGTGAAGGGCCTTGTCAGCTGAACGTGGCTTGCAAATGGAAGAGATTCCAGTTGCTAGGAGGAAAGATGGAGCAGTGGCCAGAAGAGGCTCTCAGACTGGAGACCCCTTCACCCTGTACAGACAAGACTCTGCCAGTCTTGGGGGCAGGTGCCCAGCTGAGCAGAGTGTGTGCCACCTCAAGGGCTTTGCATGCCCTGGTAGGGTGGCCATGTCAAACTGACAGAACTGCTCTGACCCTCAGGGCTTCCCTCCTGTTCCCTGACCTTTGGTCCTTTCCCTCCCAAGCTCAGGCTACAGAGTCCCTCCAACCTTCCTTCTTTCTGAGCTCTCAGCTCTGGGCCTCTCTCCAGAAGCCCAGCTGTCTTCCCAGGCCCTTCCCCAGCAAGGCCTTGCTTCATCGTCACCCCCTCTCACTGCTCCCCCCAACCCCATTACACACACACACACACACACACACACACACACTCTCACGGTCCAACCTCAGGCTCAAATTATCCTTTCTCCTGGCAGGATGAAGGGCAGCCGACTCCCTGGGGAGGGTGGAGACAGACAGCGCCAAATGGGCAACCCAGAGAAGGGGCCAGGGCTAAAAATGGATGGGAGGTGTTTGTGAGGGCCCCTGAGGCTAAAGCCCATCTGCTTGGGTGAGGGGCTGGAGTCTGTGCTGGGCAGGGGTGCAGAAAGGGACAGGTGGGGTAGAAGGGAGGGTGCCTGGAGTGGCTTTGGGCTGTCCCGGACCCCAGAGCTGGGTGTGGAGCCACAGCAGCCACGGGCTACACTCCTATAGTCCATTTCTGGCACATATCCTGAGGCCACACTGAGGCCGTGGGCTCCCGTTTGGTGGTGTGGTCAGGAGGGGGCTTGGGCCTCCAGCCAGGCTGCCTCCTAGAAGTTTGGCAAAGCCAGTGCCTGTATGGAGGCCTCACCGAGGACCAAGTGAGGCAGGATGGAATGACTGGCCCTGGGACCTCAGGGTTCCATCTGGCGCCCGGCTGCCTTCTAACAGGTGTTCAGTGGAAAGCGGCTGGAGGCTGAGTTCCCCCCTCATCACTCTCAGAGCACCTTCCGGAAGACCTCCCCCACCCCGGGGAGCTCTGCTGGGGAGGGGTCCCTGCAGAGCCTCACCTGCCTTATTGGGGAGAAGGACCTGCATCTCTTCGAGAAGCTGGGAGATGGTTCCTTTGGCGTGGTGCGCAGGGGCGAGTGGGACGCCCCCTCGGGGAAGACGGTGAGCTCCCTGGGTCCTCGGGGGTATGGTGGAGGGGCAGAAGCCTTGCTCTGCCCTCCAAGGTGGATCAGTCCCCTCCGCTCTGATGTGAAGGGGGCTGGGCACAGGTCCAGAGTGGCTCGCCCTGGAGTCCATGCTCAGGGTTAACTCGACACATGGGTTTCTTTTTCAGTTATAAAACTATTTTACTTATCATAAAAGTTTGGAAACTCTTAAAAATAAAAATTAAAAAATGTCTGTTTCCCACCACTCAGAGGAAACCGAGTTAGTGTTTCCACCTGTTTCCCCCCTCAAGTATTTTGTTGAATTTCTTTAAGATACAAATTTCAGACACAGCTTTTTAACTCTTGCCCTTTTGTCTTAGTATTGTATCTTTAAAAATTTCCCCAGAGGAATAGATAGTATGTGTGCAGTAAAGCACACAGATTTTGAGCGTATAGCTCAGTGAATTTTCACATAACGCATGGGTCTGTGTGACCACTGCCTAAATCATGGTATGGGACGTCTCTCTCACCCCAGGAGGCTCCTGCATGCCTCTTCCACTGGGTATCCTCTTCCTTCAAGAGAAAGCCACTAGTCTGACTCCTGTCACTGTAGCTTAGTTTTGTGGCATTATACTTAAAGCATTTATTTTCCACACCAAAAACATTTTTTTACTATAATATTTTAATATTCTATCATTATACCAGTCATCTCTTTCCTTATGATTGCCACTTAACCTGGGCATTCCCTCAGGAAGAGGAGGCCCAGCTCATGGCCTTTGGACGTCAGCCAGCTGCCCTCCCCTGCCAGGCCACAGGCACCTGGGACAGGCTCACCTACCCAGATGAGCAGACCTGAGGTGGGAGGAGGAGCAAGCTGGCCCAGTGGCTTGGGACTGGGGTCTGTCCTGACTCCCTGCAATTCCCCTGCCCTGGCCAGGTGAGCGTGGCTGTGAAGTGTCTGAAGCCTGACGTGCTGAGCCAGCCGGAAGCCATGGACGACTTCATCCGGGAGGTCAATGCCATGCACTCGCTTGACCACCGAAACCTCATTCGCCTCTACGGGGTGGTGCTCACACCGCCCATGAAGATGGTGTGTACTGTGGGCAGAAGGGGGCCGGGGTCAGGGAGGGGCCTGTGGTCTTGGGCCCCCAGGCCCCCCTCACCTGCTAGTGCTGTGGTCACTTCCTCCCGCCCGACGAAGGTCCTGCTTTGGTCCCCCCCCACCCCTGTGTGGCAGGGGGGTTCCCAGGCCTGCCCTGCTGACGGTGCAGCCAGACCTCTCTTCCCTCTCTGGATTTTGCTTGTGTTCTCTGGCAGAGAGTTGCACCTATGGGCGGGCCTGGCCCCAGAGTTTAGTTTTTGGCATTGCTAACCTGAGCCTCTTTGGGTGACTCTCTGGGCCTCAATTTCCCATGTTCCCTGGAGGGCGAGGTCCCTGGAGGACAGGTCAGGAAGGAGCATGGCAGTGACTGGCCTCGAGGGGAGGGGCGGGGCTCGGCCATGCTTAGTCCTCTCTCCCTCCTCCCCCGTGGCCTCAGGTGACAGAACTGGCACCTCTAGGATCATTGTTGGACCGGCTGCGCAAGCACCAGGGCCACTTCCTGCTGGGTACCCTGAGCCGCTATGCTGTGCAGGTGGCTGAGGGCATGGGCTACCTGGAGGCCAAGCGCTTCATTCACCGGGACCTGGCTGCCCGAAATCTGCTGTTGGCTACCCGCGACCTGGTCAAAATTGGGGACTTCGGGCTGATGCGAGCACTGCCCCAGAATGACGACCACTACGTCATGCAGGAACATCGCAAGGTGCCCTTTGCCTGGTGAGGGGCAGGCGCTGCTGGCTCCCAGGGCCTGGACCCCGCCCCACCCTACTCCCTACACACCCAGGCCTCGGAGCTTCCAGGGCCTTCTGTACCTCCACTGGGCATTATGTCTTCTGGGCCTGGCTTCCCTTCTCATGTGCCCATCCATTCACTTATCCATCCAGAAGTGCTCGAGGGCCCCCATAGCGGGTGCTGGAACACATAGGGCTAAGTGCTGTGGGGATGCGGGAGGCTTTGGGGAAGACCCAGTAATAAGCTCCTAAAGTATCAGAAGTCAGCCAGGCAGAGACTGGCCAGTGTGTTCCAGGCAGAGCTGAGGGTAGGCAGGCAGGGCCTTGTAGACTGATGAGAAATGTTCACCTGCACACTGGTACCTGGCCCTGTCCTGGCCCCTGCATGAGCTTATCCTGCTCTGAGACCGTCATGGGCCTCTGATATCATAGGCGCCCTGAGGAGCGTGGTCTCCTTGCTTTGGGGTGAGAGGAGTCGGTTCAGTTCTGCTTGCCAGAAAACCCTTCTAATCCAGGATATACGGTCACCCTAATTAATTACTGACCTTATATCTAGGATGATCACACATCCTGGATCCTGCCTAATATCCTCGAGTAATTAATAGCACCTCCTTTCATAGTCAGGCACCCTGGAAAATTATAAGGTCACTTTTTTATGCAGCCCTCTTAAAACAACCCTATGAAGTGAGCAGATTATTGTTATTACCATTTCATAGATGAGGAATGTGGGTCTTGGAGATCATGATTTTACCTGGGTCCCTCCCTCCCACCTGCCAACCCCCCACCTCCCCTTTGAGTGGCTGGGCCAGCTCTCCAGTCCCACGAGGCATCTCTGATTCTCCCCCGGGGGCACTTCCTCCTCACTTCCGGTACGGCCGTCCACCCTGGAGTGCTTACCCGTTGCTGGCTTCACTGCAGTGGCTTGTTTCTTCCTCGCCCCGGAGGGCGTGTGGGGACGTCTGGGGACACCACTGTGCCTCTTCCCACCCTTTTTGGTTCTTCTTCAGGCCCTGTCCAGATTTCCCACCCACACCTTCCTGCTGAAATGGCCTAAATCCTAGGATCCTGCCCCAAATCTGGAAATTGTCATCCTCCCACCACAATTAGAAAACAGCCTGGGATCTTATCCCTGCCCCCCTTTTGCCCCTCCTGGAGCCTCTGGCCCTCCTCCTTGCCCTGCATTCCTGTGGGAATGCCCCCCTCTTCCTGCTCCAGGCTGCGTGTGGACGAAAGACCTGAGCAGAGACAGTTGGGTCCACGACTGTGCACCCCGTAGTCTAGAAGGCCTGCCCTGTCCACTTCACACTGTGCCCCCTGTGCCTACTGTGAGCCTGGGCTCTCTGGACAACAGCATGCTTGTGCAGGAGCATTTGGGGTCCACTGGGGCTGCTGCAGGGGCGAGGGTTCTCTGAGAGACCTTCTGTTTGACCCCTGCCTCTGCCAGGTGTGCCCCAGAGAGCCTGAAGACGCGCACCTTCTCCCACGCCAGCGACACCTGGATGTTTGGGGTCACGTTGTGGGAGATGTTCACCTACGGCCAGGAGCCCTGGATCGGCCTCAATGGCAGTCAGGTGAGGGGGCTGGGTGGTGCTCCCCACCGGGTGGCCGGGGGTTGATTTGATCCCTGGCTTTCCTCCTGGCCCAGTTGGAGCTGGCTCTCACCTGTTGGAATCGCTGTGTGCAGTGCGCTGTGTCTGCCCGAGCCCCTCAGAGAGCTGAGCAGGGAGCGTGGCCCCAGTGGTGTGGAACAGACCAGCCTGGACTTGCTCACGGTCCTCCTCTGCCACGGCCCTCTCTTTGGAGGCCACAGACCTGGGGGTCAGGGTCTGAGGCCTGGGGATCAGGCACAGGTCTTCTTCGTGGTGCAGGCATGGCAGACTGTGGTTCCAGTGCTTCCATGGCTGGGGGACAGGGAAGATGGGGGTGAAGAGACGGGTGCTCTTCTTGTCCTCAAACTGCCCACCACCCCCAGATCCTGCATAAGATTGACAAGGAGGGGGAGCGTCTACCGCGGCCCGAGGACTGCCCCCAGGACATCTACAATGTCATGGTCCAGTGCTGGGCTCACAAGCCCGAGGACAGACCCACCTTTGTGGCCCTGCGGGACTTCCTGTTGGAGGTGAGGCAGGTCTGCCCACAGGGGCGGGGGTATCTAAGCAGAGGTCAGCCAGGGGCAGGCAGTGACCTGTGTCTCCCCCAGGCTCAGCCCACCGACATGCGGGCCCTTCAGGACTTCGAAGAGCCTGACAAGCTGCACATCCAGATGAACGACGTCATCACCGTCATCGAGGGGAGGTAGGGAGCGTGGGGTCTGCGTCCCATTGCCTTGAAGGACTCAGCCAGGAGGGGTCTGGGGCCCGAGAGCCCCTCTGCCTCTCAGGCTCTTGTGGCCACACCCTGGCTCCTGCGGCGAGATGGAGGGCGGGCTTGGGTCCCCTCCTGAGTGTGAGGAGTGAAGTATGCAGGTGCCGAGGCATACAGAGGGCTTTCCTGACCTGGAGCCTCCTTCACCCTTTGCCCACTAAGCTTCAACAGGCTCTGTGAGTCAGGGCCATGCTGCCACTGTGGGTAGGAAGGAGCATCAGGGCCTGGGGCCCAACTGGGGACTCGGGGGCTCCTTTTACCCTCTCCCGCCCTCCTCTCCCCCTCCTGCCAGGATGAGGACTCCGGACTCTCACCTGAGCACCCTGCAGTGGCCCAGAGCAGCCCCGCCTCTTCCTGGCAGCCTCTGCCCTCCGCTGAGCACATAGCTCCCTCCGAGGGCTCCCCTCCTTCCTCTGCTGGGCCTTTTGTCCCCAGCTGCCCTCACAGGGTCTCTTTCCTCCCTCCCCCTCACACCTGGCAGCACGTGTCTGCCCGCAGGCGGCATCCCCTGAGTCATGTCTTCTACTTGCAGCCCCCGCAGTTCAAGCGGGTCTGCCTTGGAGGAGGCCCCACCCACCACTTACCCCCACCCTCTTGTTATCTGATCCCCGGGGTGTCTGAGGAGCTGATTGGGGTGGGGCAGGCTAGAGGTGCCTTTGGGGTGGGGGCTGAGTGTGGAGGAGCAGGTGAGGAAATCCCCTGTACCACTCACCCTGACTCCCCAGCTCCTCTGACTCAGAGCTGGGCAGGGATGGGGGCAGGGGCTTCCCACAGAGCCCTTTCTACGTGGACTTCAGGTTTGGGGTTTGGGGCCTTTGGAGAAGCTCTGTTCCTCATGGGTGTTTGTTGAGAAGGGAGCGCTTCTGGGTCTGAGTCAGACTGACGATACAGGCCCCAGAGCCTGGACTGGCTGTGGAGGAGCGTGACCTGCACCCCTGTGGCCCCCAGCATCTTCCCTCCAGGCTAGCATTCCAGCTTGGCAGTCTGGGGAAGGTTCTGGAAATAGGAAGATGAGGGTGACGGCCTTCCTGGAGGTACAGGGCAGGACCTTGGGCTGGAGTCTGAGCCTGCAGCCATTCCCTCCTCCAGATGCCAGAACCCTGGGCCCACACCCTCCTCTGCCCTGTAGACCCCGGGCCTTTACTTCCTCCAGGCCCTTGCTGTCAGTGAGGGCCCATGTGCCAGGGCCCAGTGTTCCCCAGGAGGTGACTCAGGGACTTGGTGTGTTTCTGGGGCTTGTGTCTCTGAAGCTGGCACCCTGGGTCACCCTTGGAGCAAGGCGGGGAACAGGAGGCTCAGGGGAGCCGCTCCTCCTGGGAGGCCCCCGTGGGCGGGCCCTGCCCCGCCCTTCCGTCCCGGGCTCTGGCTCCACCGCCGCCGCTTGCCAGTGTGGGCTCATTGGGCTCTTCCTCCGGGGCCACCAGCCCGACTTGGACCACAGCACCGTTGGTCCCTGGAGCTGCTCAGGAGGTGGGAGGTGAGGGCAGGAGGCATGACAGCCGGTGAGGCTTTGGGAGTGGGCCTGTGTGTCGGTGGTACCAGGGCTTGAACTGCTCCCTTGTTTCCTCGGGACCCGAGTGTGTTTGTTTGGCTGGCTCTGTCTCCATGTCTCCGGGTGGATGGGCTGTCTGTTTGTGGGTATCCCTTTGGGTCTGGGTTTGTGCGCGTGGGTCTCAGTCTGTTTCTCCGTCCTCTTCCCCCAGCATCCTGGCTCTCAGCTCTCTCACATCTGTGCTCTTCTGTTAGACTTGGATTTCTTCTTGCCGAAACTGTCTCCCAGCCACAGTCTGGGAGCACCCTTGCCCCTGACTCTGACCGATTCTTTAGACTCAGTGCTTCTCGAAGTATCAGGCAGTGGACAGAGAGAAGACACCAGGTGTTCTGTGAGCCCAGCTCTCGAGGCTCTGTCTAGACCGAGAGGGACGGGTGAAGACCACTCTTCTCCAGTGGGTCTTCTTTGGAGGCTAGGATGGCTGACAGAACTTTGATGTTCTGTCTTCACCAACCAGAGAAGGGGAACAGAGGTTTTGAACTCCATTGTGCTAGTCCTTGGCCTGGCTGGTGCCTGGAGCCTCTGCTTCCTCTGGTAGGCGAGGGAGGAGAAAGCGAAGGCTGTGTTGTCCTTCAAGGTTAGGGACTGCCGGGGATACCTGGAGAGAAGCGCTCAGGTGGTCTTTTGAGCACTGTTTAAGCCACGTTTGTCAGCCATTTCTAGGCTACCTAGGCTGGGACTGAGGTTTCTAGGGACTGGTCCCCCAGTAGGACTGGGACAGCCTTCAGGGGTCCCTAACCCAGGCCCTGGTTCCCGGCTGCTGCTTCACATCTCACCTGTCCCAGGATGCTGTGAGGCCATCCTGCTGGAGATGCTGGTCTGCTTCAGGAACTGGCCCTCCCGTTGCCATGGAGACTCTGGGCTGAAGGGAGGTGTGGCCAGAGCAATCTGGGTGGGAAAGGCTGACCTGGTTCTCCTGGGCCACTGAGCCTGGGAGGGCCGGGGAGGGGACTGGGGGCAGTGGGACGTAGCCTTGGCCACCTCTGGAGTTATATTTGACTCTCCCTGGGAGGATGCTGCTTCCGTGCTTAGGATGTGGTTCCCAAGTATGTTTCCTATACATACTCTGCACTCCCCCCAGCCCCCACCCCGTGGCAAAGCCTTTTTTGAGACTTGGTGTCAGGACTCCCAGCAGTGACAAAGGATGCCTTCCTTCTAGGCCTAGCTCTTGCCTTGGCCATACAGGTAACAAAGGAAGGTAGGCTCAGTTCTGCTCTCCCCTCTCAGAGGTGGGTCCAGAGGAGGCTCCCAGGTGAGGGGCTGTGTTAGCAAGAGGAAGGGAGTGGAGGGAGTGCCCACCTGGCCACCTGGGTGGTTGCGATTCCCGTGTAAACCCAGCCTTGGGTGTGAGTCTGTTCCACTCTGCACTGTTTCTCCAGCGCAGTTAGCATCTCTGGAGAGGTGTGCGGAGCAGAATCCAGCATCCGGCTGTTGGGTTTGGTGTCTGAGACTGTTTTGTGGAGGGGCCCATGAGACCCAGGGGGCCTGTGGGTGTTGGGGGGAGGGCAGCATGGGGGCTGGGTGCTAGCCCCTCCCCGCTACACCTCGTTGGCCTCAGCCGGCCTGGAGGTGGCATGGAGAGGGGAGGTGCTCCTCCCCTTGGAATGGCCCTGCTATTTTTGGATGGGCCTTGTCCCTTCCCGGGTGTTGTCCTTCTTCTTCCTTCCCTTCCTGCCCTCACCCCCGAGAGGCAGGGCGGTAATCACAGGGTTGCTGTGTCTGTGGTGGCTGGGCAGGCAGCCTTGTTGGCAAGGAGGCTGGGCCCTCAGCCCTCCCCTTGCACCTCCTAGCTCCCCCAGAATCGCTGTGCTCATGGGCCTCACTGCCTCCTTCCTGTCTCCACCTCCCCTCACCCCCCGATCTGGCTGCAGATTGGAGGAAACCTTGCTCTATGCCCCTGGCGTGGAAAGGTATTGTACGGGTGGGGGCTGACAATGCAGGGACACAGCTTGGTGCCACGTGGACCCCCCCTACAGCTGCAGGAGGCCCTCACCACCTCTGCCGTAGCCTGGACTCTGAGCCTGTCCTTGGGGTGAGCGATCTCAGCGGCAGGTGCAGGAGCCTCGGAGCTGTTGACTCTTTGGCCTTCGAAGCATCCAAGAGGGAGCTTTGTTCTTTCCTGCCCACCTGGCCAGCTCCCATCCTCGACCCCATGCCCAGACCTAGGCTGTGCCAACAGAGTCTGAGGTCAGAGTGAGGGGCTGGTGGTCCCACAGTCCACATACACTGGGAGGCTGGGGTCCCTGTGGACCCCTTGTTTAAGGCAAGGAGGTGGGTGGGTGTGAGAGCAGGGGTCCCACAGTCCGGGCAGGTGGTTAGTGGAAGGTGCTGCTGCTACTGCTAAGTCACTTCAGTCGTGTCCAATTCTGTGTGACCCCATAGACGGCAGCCCATCAGGCACCCCCACCCCCGGGATTCTCCAGGCAAGAACACTGGAGTGGGTTGCCATTTCCTTCTCCAATGCATGAAAGTGAAAAGTGAAAGTGAAGTCGCTCAGTCGTGTCCAACTCTTAGCAACCCCATGGACCGCAGCCTACCAGGCTCCTTTGTCCATGGGATTTTCCAGGCAAGAGCACTGGAGTGGGGTGCCATTGCCTTTTCCGAGTGGAAGGCTCTGGAGATACGTAAACCTTGGGTTGCTCCAGGTGCTTCCAAACTTTTGAAGGACTCCCTGCCTGCAGGAGATAGGATGTGGTTGGAGGGCTTGGCCCCAAGCCCAACACTAAGGCCGTGGTGCTCCTTTGGCCCCTGCAGGTTAGAGCTCCTGGAACCAGGTTGAAGAGTGAAATCGGGTGGCCAGGGGAGGGAGGTGAGGTGGTATGGTGAGAAGAGTGCTGGCTTCACAGACTGACAACTGGGTTTGAATCCTGCTGCCCTCTGTTTGGTAACTGTAGGCAAGTTGTGTCACTTGTTTGAATGTGTTTCCTTATTTCTCAACTGGAGCAAAAGCTGTTTGACCCACCTGAGTCGCTTAGGGTAAGGCTCTGTGCTAACGCCAGGCCCTGTACTGGGTGAGCGGCAGATCCTGGGGGCCTGCAGGCAGGCTGCTCTGATCCTGGGGCCCTCACCCTGGTGCTCCTTTCCACTGAGGTGGTCGGATACCACGGTGCAGAGCTTGGTATGAAAAGGGTCCTGTCCTTAGGGCCTTCCACCACACCCTGGTGTTCACCATGTCACCTCTGTTGGGCAGGGCTGAGAATTACTGGTGGCGTGGGCAGAACACGCGGACGCTGTGCGTGGGGCCCTTCCCTCGCAACGTGGTGACCTCTGTGGCCGGCCTGTCAGCCCAGGACATCAGCCAGCCGCTGCAGAATAGCTTCATCCACACGGGGCATGGCGACAGTGACCCCCGCCACTGCTGGGGCTTCCCTGACAAGATCGACGAGTGAGTGTTGGTGGGGCCCCACAGGGGGGCTCCAGGGCCGGCAGCCCTTCCCTGGGCACGCAGGCTCTCCAGGCTTCCAAGGTCCCCATTACAACCCTGGGCCTTTCTTTGCAAGCAGGACTGAGGTTGGAGCTTCAAAGGTTAGACCAAGTCTTTCTTTGGTGGAAGGGCCTCCAGGGCCTGCACCTCTTAAGTTCCCCTGGCAAACTGACCTTAGGAAAATGGACTTGGAAGTAGCCTTTGGAAGCAGTTAGTAAGGAAGCATCTCCTGATCCCCAGTACTTGGTGGCAGTTTCCCTTCTTCTGCTGGAAGCACCCATGTCCTAGAGATGGGAGCTGCTGGTTCAGGCCTGAGAGGCAAGATGCAGAAAAACTCCCTGCAGGGACACTCCAGAGGGAATTTAGGCAGCAGCTCGGAGCCCTCTGCCCCTCTCCCCACCCTACCCCGCCCTGCTTACTCTGTACCTGGGAGGGGGTTCAGCTTCCTTTAAGTGAAAGGATGAAGTCATCTAGGGACATCTGGGGAAGACACACAGGAGGATTAGTCACTTCCTGAGGGCCCCGCCCCAGGGAGCCACCTGGAGCTCCTCCCACTGGGCCTCCAAGCCTCTGTGCCAGCCCCACTGGGCTTCCGAGCAGCGCTTTGTTCTCCACCTTCTGACCGGCCTTGTCCCAAGGGGTGAGGTTCAGCCTGCCCTTCACCCCCTGCTCTGCACGCCAGGTCACTGAGCCCTGGGAGGGTGCCAGGGCTCTCGCCTCGCAAGAGCCAGGGAGGGCCTGAGAGAGCTGGGGTTGCAGACCCCCTGCAGAAGGCGGCCGTGGCAGTGTGGCTTGGCAGCAGGGAAGAGAGTGCCAGCTGGTGGCTGCTGAGCGGGGGTGGGGGTGCTGCGGGGGTTGCAGGGGGCCAGCTCTACCCTTTCAGGGAGTACTTGGAGCCCATACAATCCTAGGCTTTTCAGCCTACGCTCAGGAGTTCTTCCTCTGCCCTCTGCCTCTGCCCCCTCTCCATGGCACCCTCCCCTGGTTACTGCTAGATCTATGGAAGGGAGCGCCTGGGAGTCAGAAATCTTGTGCTCCAGACCTACGTCCGCCAGGGGCTTGGACAGGACTCTTTTGTCCTCTGCCTGAGCCCAGGGCACAGGCCCAGCAACTCCTCCAGGGTGCCCTCTCTGCCACCACCCTACCTGCACCCATCTCTGACCTGCTTTTCTCCCCACAGACTGTATCTGGGAAACCCCATGGACCCTCCCGACCTGCTGAGCGTGGAACTGAGCACATGCAGACCCACCCAGCATCTGGGCAGGGTGAAAAGTAAGGGCCCCCAAACCCTTAGTCTCCTAGTTCATCAGCTACCCAGGAAGACGTGCTGCCTCCTCGGGCCACCCTGAGCCGGTTGGGTCAGGGCCTCAGGGGACAGCTGTGTCCCTGGCTCCCGCGGGGCGTGGGGCGGGCGGTGAGAGGCAGTGGTATCCGCCGAGGTGGGCATCGTCAGTCTGGCCAGTGCTGGCCTGCCCTCTCCACTTCCCTCCTCCCCCTCCTCCTCCCTGCCATGCTCAGATCCTGGCTCTCCTCACTACCCCCTAATCCTGCTCTCCTCTCCCGAGCCAAAACCACCCCCCAGGCTCCATCTTGGCTGGGAGCCTCATCCATCTCCCGGATCCTGGGCCTGTGGGTCCGGAACACAGTTTTCCCATCCTGCCGCCCCATTGCTTCCCATTGCTGCTGGGTGTGTGCAGTCACTCGCCCCTATTCACTGTCTCTCTCTCTCTCCCCCCGCACTCTGCCCTCCCCTCTGGCTCTGTCTCCCCTTCCTTGTCCTCTCCGGCTCTGCCCCTCTACTCTCCGCATGGCCTTTCTTGCAGGGGAGCCTCCACCTCGCCCTCCTCAGCCTGCCATCTTCACTCAGAGTAAGTGGGGCTGCTCCCGGTGCCTTGGCCCCCGCCCCCGCCCCCTCTCTCCTCTCACTCCTCTCCTTCTGGAAGGTACAGAGCCCTGGCCGGCTGGCTGGGTGGAAGGGGAGGTGGGTGTGTGCTGTGAGCTTTTGCGACTGACCTGGCCCAGCATGCCTGCCTCTCCCCCCACCCCCCAAAAGCCCAGGCTTCTGGAATAAGAGTGTGATCCTGGTGCCCGCCCCCGCCTCTGCCCACCCTTGTGCAGCCCTGCCTCACTTCCTGCGGGACCCACAGAAGCCGTGTCTGGGCTTTCGTGCCAGTTTGTCGGGAGCCCTGTCCTCTCTAAAGATGACTCCTGTTGCCCTTGACGGTGGGAGATGGCCCATAGCCCCTGCCTGCACTAATGGTGTGCTATAATGGGGTAGGGATTGCTAACCAGGGCCCACAGGGATTTGGGGTCTTGTGTCGATGGAGAGGTTATCAGAAGTGGACAGATGTGGGGTATTGCTTGCTCGAGCTGAGATGGAGGCAGGGGCTCACTGGCCCCTGCAGAGGGCTGCCAACCCCCAGAGCAGGTTCTCCCCTCCTGTTTGAAAAGGGTCTGTGTGCACGGAGAATTCTCGTGGCTGAGGTCTGCCCTTCAGGGGAATTGGGAGCTGGTAGAGATACTTGGCTGTCTTCCCCATCCACCTGCCTGACGCTGCCTCCCTGTTGGGGTTCTCCCTTCCATCACAGAACCAACCTACGACCCCGTGAGTGAGGACCAAGACCCCCTGTCCAGTGACTTCAAGAGGCTGGGCCTGCGAAAGCCAGGACTGCCCCGTGGGCTGTGGCTCGCGAAGCCCTCGGCCCGGGTGCCAGGCACCAAGGCTGGCCGCGGTGGCAGCGAGGTCACGCTCATCGACTTCGGCGAGGAGCCTGTTGTGCTGGCCCCACGGCCCTGTGCCCCCTCACTGGCGCAGCTGGCCATGGATGCCTGTTCCTTGCTGGACAAGACCCCGCCGCAGAGCCCTACACGGGCCCTGCCCCGGCCCCTGCATCCCACGCCTGTGGTGGACTGGGATGCACGCCCGCTTCCCCCGCCTCCTGCCTACGATGACGTGGCCCAGGATGAGGATGACTTCGAGGTCTGCTCCATCAACAGCACCCTGGTGGGCGCCGGGGTCTCTGCTGAGCCCAGCCAGGGCGAGACCAACTACGCCTTTGTGCCTGAGCCGGCGAGGCTCCTCCCCCCGCTGGAGGACAACCTGTTCCTCCCACCCCAGGGAGGGGGCAAGCCACCCAACTCGGCCCAAACCGCAGAGATCTTCCAGGCGCTGCAGCAGGAATGCATGCGGCAGCTGCAGGTCCCGGCTGGCTCTCTGGTCCCCTCGCCCAGCCCTGCGGGTGACGACAAGCCCCAGGTCCCCCCCCGGGTGCCCATCCCCCCGAGGCCCACACGCTCACGTGGCGAGCTGTCTCCAGCCCCTCCAGGCGAGGAGGAGACGGGCCAGTGGCCCGGACCTGCCTCCCCTCCCCAGGTGCCTCCCCGGGAGCCCCTATCTCCACAAGGCTCCAGGACTCCCAGCCCCCTGGTGCCACGTGGCAGCTCCCCGCTGCCACCCCGGCTCTCCAGCTCACCTGGGAAGACCATGCCCACCACCCAGAGCTTTGCCTCAGACCCCAAGTATGCCACACCCCAGGTGATCCAGGCACCTGGCCCACGGGCCGGCCCCTGCATCTTGCCCATCGTCCGAGATGGGAAGAAGGTCAGCAGCACCCACTACTACTTGCTACCTGAGCGCCCGCCCTACCTGGAGCGCTACCAGCGCTTCCTGCATGAGGCCCAGAGCCCCAAAGAGCCAGAACCCATGCCTGTGCCCCTGCTGCTGCCCCCTCCCAACACCCCAGCCCCAGCCGCCCCCACTGCCACTGTTCGACCAATGCCCCAGGCTGCCCCAGACCCCAAGGCCAACTTCTCCACCAACAACAGCAACCCAGGGGCCCGGCCATCCGCCCTGAGGGCCACTGCTCGACTGCCACAGAGGGGCTACCCCGGGGACGGGCCAGAGGCTGGGCGACCTGCAGACAAGATCCAGATGGTGAGTAGTGGGTCTGGCTGCAGGGTGAGAAGGGGCGGGGGCCCAAGGGACCCAGAGGAAGGGGCCCGAGTGGTGCTGACGGGTGGGGGTGGTGTGCCCAGCTGCAGGCCATGGTGCATGGGGTGACCACAGAGGAGTGCCAGGCGGCCCTGCAGAGCCACAGCTGGAGCGTGCAGAGGGCTGCCCAGTATCTGAAGGTACCACCAACCTCCTGCCCACTCTGGCTTTCAGGGACCCTGAAGACTGTTCTGCGGCTCTGCTCCCACCCTCTCCCTCCCTCCCCTCACCCCCCTTCCTCTGCCCCGCCCTGGCCCAGTGCCCCTCGGCTCCAGTGTGTCCCATGGCACCACCCTCTGCTCCCCAGGTGGAGCAGCTCTTTGGTCTGGGTCTGCGGCCACGAGGCGAGTGCCACAACGTGCTGGAGATGTTCGACTGGAACCTGGAGCAGGCCGGCTGCCACCTGCTGGGCTCCTGCGGCCCTGCCCACCACAAGTGAGCAAACCCTGCATCCGCTGTCTTCCTGTACCCGGGCTTCCCGGAGCAGCCACCCTGGGAGTAGCCAGCATTGCACGGCCATACACAAATGGTGCATGGGGTGACCACAGAGGAGTGCCAGGCGGCCCTGCAGAGCCACAGCTGGAGCGTGCAGAGGGCTGCCCAGTATCTGAAGGTACCACCAACCTCCTGCCCGCTCTGGCTTTCAGGGACCCTGAAGACTGTTCTGCGGCTCTGCTCCCACCCTCTCCCTCCCTCCCCTCACCCCCCTTCCTCTGCCCCGCCCTGGCCCAGTGCCCCTCGGCTCCAGTGTGTCCCATGGCACCACCCTCTGCTCCCCAGGTGGAGCAGCTCTTTGGTCTGGGTCTGCGGCCACGAGGCGAGTGCCACAACGTGCTGGAGATGTTCGACTGGAACCTGGAGCAGGCCGGCTGCCACCTGCTGGGCTCCTGCGGCCCTGCCCACCACAAGTGAGCAAACCCTGCATCCGCTGTCTTCCTGTACCCGGGCTTCCCGGAGCAGCCACCCTGGGAGTAGCCAGCATTGCACGGCCAGACACAGGGCTCCGGGCCAGGAGGAGGAAAGGGGTCCCAATCCCACGAGACAGGCAGTTCTCGAGGAAAACAGTTTCTCCTAAGCACATTTGTCTTGACTTCATAGCTTCTTTGTTCAGATGAAAACTAATGAGTAAGAGGAACTGGAGCCACTCTGGTTGCAGGGGGCTTGCTTCCTAATCAGGCTCTAGTGAGCAGCAGTTTAGGATCCCATAATTTAGACAAATACTTCTCACCTCCTCATTTCCTATTTCAGTTTAAAATAATACCTAAAGCTTTAATGCCTTTTTAAAAGAATGTTTAATTTAAAAAATCCATTACTTTTCCTGTAAAAAATTTATATGTAATCTGACAAAATATATAGATGTATATTAACAGCAAACTTGATGTAGAGTATAAATACCAATGAAAGTTTTATTGAGTTGAAAGTGAACTTCCCTGGGAGATGCTGGTGGGGTGTGGGGTGTCAAGAGTGCCCTGGCAGGACAGCCTGATTGGAGCCCAATGCCCTGCTCACATATGGTGTCAGCTTATGCTCCTTTGCTGATCTCTCAGGGTACTCATCTGTAACACGTGTATCAATGTTAGTTCCAACCTCATAGAAGTGGTTAGAAGAATTAATGAGGGATGCCTCTGTTATACCACACAGCAAGTGTCTGGCCCACAGGACGCTGTCACTGAATGTTAACCATTACCTTGTGGTTATCCTTACTCATTTGCATCACTTACTGATACACAATTAGCTTATTAAAGAAGGCATCCAGGATGACAAATTCCAAAATTACTGCCCAGAACCACCCATTTTCAACCCATTTGGCCGGCACCAAGAGGCCTTCTCGTACCTGCTCACCCTGGACCTTCCATCCTCTGTTGCACTGACCCCTGCTGATGGAGGGCTTTCTGATTGTTTCCCATCCTTTAGGCGTTGAGATGCCTGAAGAGCCAGAGGATCTGCCCTGAAGGAATCACTTAAGCTTGTCCATCTGAGGAGGGTGGGGAGACTCCCTGCCAGGCCTGGAAGACCTGCTGCACCCACGGCTCCCAGTGGCAGAGCGAGGCCACGGCAGCAGGAAGCTGGGACTCCCGCCCTGCCTGTCCCTCCCTCCCCCAGTGCTGTCCCTGCAGCTTCAGAAGCCCTTGGTGCCCCAGCCAAGGTGCAGGAGGGAGCCTCTTGAAGGCAGGCTGGGGTCGGCCTCAGCAGGCCCTACAGCTGACCTGCCTCTGGGCTTAAGTCCCTGGTGGAGCCTGTGGCTAAAGGGTGTGGCCAGGGCTTGCCGGCAGGAAAGCCGGACCTGACCTTGGGCAGGGAGGATGTGTTGGCCATACAGAGAGGTGGACCAGGGAGTGGACGGGGGCCCTTCACAGGACTAGGCCCTTTCCAGGGAGCCCTGTTGAACAGAATGTGGCCTCACCATGGACGTATTATGGGACTTGGCCGGTCTTAGGATCTTGTGCCTGAAAATAGCCTGAGGTGGCTCAGGTAGCAGAGCTAGGGTGCCAGATCGTTCTCTGGCAGGGACCAGGGCCCAAGGGCCCAGGATCGGAAGGAGACCAAGGGGGCAGCTGCCCTGGAGGGACACCAGTGCTTCCTCTCTGACCCAGCTCTTCCCCTGTGCTGTTCTGTGTTTTCCCACCAGCCTCTGTTGCCAAAGTTGCTGCCCCAGCTATGAATATCTGCTTCTTCCAGAGAAATAAAATTAGTTTCTATTTTATGTTACTTATTTGTGTCTGCCTGTTCTTTGTCAGCTGCCTGAGGCTCCAGGGCTCCCCAAGCCACTGCCATCTGTCCCAGGCAGCAGGCCCTGTGGCGCCATCTGTTGATGAAGCAGAGGAAGTACAGGCCTCTTTGGCCCTAAGGAGTCTCTCCCTTTCCTGGGCTGGCTGAGGACAGAACCACCTAATTCAGTGTCCCTTAAGTTTTATCTCGAGTTCTGCGAGGCAGGATATACTGTAGGACAGAGTACAGTAATGCAATTAGCTTTATCTAAGCCAGAAATTTTTTTAGCACGTGCTAAGTCACTTCAGTCATGTCCGACTCTTTGCAACCCTGTGAAATATAGCCCACCAATTCCTCTATCCATGGGATTCTCTGGACAAGAATACTGGAAAAAAAAAATTTTGGAGTGGGTGCCATGCCCTTTTCTCCAGGGGATCTTCCTGACCCAGGGATCAAACTCGTGTCTCTTGCATCTCCTATACTGGCAGGTGGATTCTTTACCACCAGCACTATCTGGGAAGCCCTATTGTTTGTTAAGCATGGAAGGCCTCAATATGTATAAATATTTTAATTTTCTTTTTCTGGATAGCTAGTAATTCACTTGGTTCAAAATTCAAAAGATACTAAGGAGTATACAGTGAGATTTCCCACCCCAGCTGCCACCTCCCCTCTTCAGAGGCTGCCTTTATCCTCAGTTTTCCGTGTGTTTCTTGTTTTTTTCACTTAAAGTGTTGTGAAGAGCTCCTTAGCCATACTGAAAGAGCTGCCCCAGCCTTGTCTAGGGTTGCGTGGATACGGCGGAACCATTCTCTGTTTAACCAGTCCCCTTTGGACGGCGAGTTGCTTGGTTGTTCCCGATCCTCTGCAGTTGCAGCCACTGCAGCATTAGTGGCGACTGTGGGTTATCCATCTCTTGCAAGGCCGTCTGCAGGGTGAGCTCCTGGAAGCCGTGCTCCTGAGCCAGAGTGTGCGCAGCTCCTGAGGGATCCTGCGGCTTCCTCCCCACAGAGGGGGCTCCTCCCGGTGTCCCAGCCCCCAGTGTGTGAGAGCTTTCCCTGTGCTGCCAGAGCTCTCTGCCTCGAGACAGTCTGACACGTGGAAAATGGTGCATTTTAAAATGCACTCCTCTAAATTGGGCCTTTTATATCTCTTTTCTATGAGCTACTTATTAATAGCTTGACCCATTAAAAAATTAGATTATTAATCTGTTTCTTATTGGTTTTAAGGAAGTTAGTGAAAGAAGAGATTTAGCCTTTTGAGCTTTATCATATTATCATCTGAACTGAAGGAAAAGAGGTAAGTCATAAAGTAAGCTGATGGCTTGGGTTTATTAAAAACAAAGGCAATTCAGGATGTGCCTGAGTTGTTCTCCTTAGTGTCTGGGGCTCCAGGTTGGCTGTGGGGTAGGCCCCCTAGGAGATCTTTAGCCTTCAGATGCAAATGTATTCTGAGTATGCTATTCACAAAGGCAGGAATTAAATTTTTTTAGCTGCAGTTTAAAGAAATTAATCAAATATATTATCAGGTCAGTTCAGTTGCTCAGTCGTGTCCGACTCTGCAACCCCACGGACTGCAGCCACCAGGAAAAACCATGTTGTCATAGGAAAGGAAAAAGCATTTGGGCCTTGCTGCTGGACCTGGATTTCATTCTCAGTTGTTGAATCTTGGAAAAATGACTTTAACTTTTCTGAGTCTGTAAACTGGGGAAGAGTAATTCCCACTTTATAGAACGGTTGTGAGGATTAAATGAGGTCACATAGGTGAAACATTTTGCTAGGTGACTGGCCATGAGAAGTACCCAGGAAACTATAACACATTTTGTTTCTTCATGTGTTCCTGCCTATTGATAGCTTGCATTATACACTGAACAACTGTTAAGTGTGCAAATGTTTTCTTTCACCTACCCTCTTACCTGAAAACAATTTGTTTTTTGCTAGCAAGTCATTTCTAGTTACAGATCATGGTCACTTTTAGCTCCATTAAAAAATGTCATTTTTTGGAGAAGAAAATGGCAACCCACTCTAGTACTCTTGCCTGGAAAATTCCATGGACGGAGGAGCCTGGTAAACTACAGTCCACGGGATTGCAAAGAGTTGCACACAACTGCGCAACTTCGCTTCTAAAAAAGTCATTTTTTGGTAAATAATGGCAGAGCTAATACATTTCAGAATTATAAGGGGGTACCAAAGCATCTGGAGTTTCCTCAGGGGGTCAGGAGAACCAATGTACTTTTCTTGCCAGAGACACAATTCCCTGAATTCTAGGTTTCCCTGCCGTTTTTCTCGCTTCTGGTCAGGCTGCTAGCTTCTGCCAGCATCTCTTGGGTTTATTGAAAAGATCTTAAGGAAAGATACTGAAAGAGCTGCCCCAAGTTTGTTTGCCAATACGGAGCATCAGTAAATCAGTGAGGATTCACTGGATACCTTCTTTGTGTCAAGACTTGAAGAGGGGATACAAGCTAAAGAGACATAGTCTGTGCCCAGGGGGACTGTGACATTGCAGCAAGATGATGCATACTGATTACATGCTAGATGCCTTGCAATGAGAGAGGAGGTGGCTCCCTGGAGGAAGAGACATTGTGCTGACTTGATGGGGAAGAATAAGTCAATGCCAGGAAGGTGAGGGGACATGACAGCATTGTAGGTGTGGGAAACTGCACTCATACTATATGGAGATGCAAACTGGCTTGTCCTGAGAAGAGAAGTTGGTAAGGCTAGCATTCCTCCTTCTGTTAAGTTTCTGGGGTGGGTTGGAAGTGACTTTCATTGTGTGATCCTAGTGAGTGGATCCTAGGGCTAGAACATGAAGACACTGGTGTGAAATGCTGAGTCCTCTAACTTAACAGACAAAGGGAGGTAGCAGAGGAATAATGTAGTCAGACCCGTGTCTTTAAGAGAGATGGGATAACTGACAAGATCCTACCGTATAGCACAGGGAACTGTATCTAATAACCTATGATAAACCATAATGGAAAAGAATATGAAAAAGAATGTGTATGTGGGGACTTCTCTGTTAGTCCAGTGGTTAGGAAGTTACCTTCCCATGCAGGGGGTATGGACTCGATCCCTGTCCGGGGAACAAAGATCCCACATACCTCAAAGCCAAAAAATAAAATGAAATAAAACCAAAACATAGACAATAGAAACAATATTGCAAAAGAGACTCAGATGTATAGAACAGACTTGCGGACTCTGTGGGAGAAGGCGAGGGTGGGATGTTTCAAGAGAACAGCATCGAAACATATATATCTAGGGTGAAACAGATCACCAGCCCAGGTTGGATGCATGAGACAAGTGCTCGGGCCTGGTGCACTGGGAAGACCCAGAGGGATGGGGTGGAGAGGGAGGTGGGAGGGGGGACCGGGATGGGGAATACATGTAAATCCATGG